GTGGAGTTTTATTTACTCGTCCTTCAACATAGAATATGGTAGTTGATAAGATTTAATAAAATTTTTACAGATCCAATCAATATTACTTATACAAAGTCTCATGTGTTTGAGAGAGAAAAGAAGAAGAGGAAAAGAAGAGGAGGAAGAAAGGAGCGCATAGGTCAGGAGGAAGAAGAGGAGGCGTCTAAAGTTGTCAAAATTAGGGTATAGGTTAAAGAATTTTAAAAATATAGGTATAGCTTAAGTGGGGGCGACCAAATAGGGTGCCCCGTACAATTTTTACCTCAGGGTCCAGGGGTGGCTCTAAAGGCTTGGGCTGTGAGGTTGTCGCCTTAGGCCCCCAAATTTTGAAGGCCCCAAATTTATTTTAAATTATTATTATTATTATTACTGTATATTATATAAATTATATAAATAATTAGTATAAAGAAAAGTGTTACAATATATTATTTTTTGTTATTTGATTGAGATTATTTTATATCAATAAATTCATAAATTATGATAATTTTCTTTACTAATTAATTAGTATATTTGCTTCAATATTCAATTTTAATTTTATCCTTTTTATATAGGAATTAAGTTATATATATCAACAACATAATAAATATCTTTTACAATGTTCTCTCAAATTGCATGAACACAAACGTATTCATGCACCGGTTTTCATTTAGTGTAATTCGACATATTATATTAGGTTATTTATAATCTATTTTAGATATCCACCAATAAGTGTAATTTAATAGAATGAACTACAATTATCGTTTAAATTGATCATAAGGAGTAAATATTTTTGACACCGTTAATGTCACGACCCAAAATTTCCACCTTCGGACCCTGAAGGCGCCTAACATTTCACTTGCTAGGCAAGCCAATGTTAGAATAATATTATCCATTTTTAAAAGAATTTTAAATTTATTAATAACAAGGAAGCAAATGCGGAAGCAATTTTGAAATAGTCCATAAAAAACAACGGTGTCTAAATACCATCCCAGAATTGGTGTCACAAGTGCACGAGCTTCTAGAATAAATACAAATAAAAGTCTGAATAAAATAAAGTTGTCTCGAAATAAACACACAGCTAAAGTACAATAGACGGGGACTTCAGAACTGCGGACGCCATGCAGTTATACCTCAAGTCTCCTCTGGTAGCTGAAATCCGAGCAAGTCTATGGTACGCCGCTGGGACCAACTCCAAAATCTGCACAACAAGTGCAGAGTGTAGTATCAGTACAACCGACCCCATGTACTGGTAAGTGCTGAGCCTAACCTCGACAAAGTAGTGACGATGCTAAGGCGGTTCACTTACATTAACATGTACGCAATATTAATAACAACAACAAATAATAGAAATAAATCAGGTAACTCATTTATAATAATTGAAGCCAACTCAGCAGTCATAACCAATTATCATTTCCATCAATTCTGTTGCATCGTGCAACCCGCTCTCACAATATATTCACTTTCAGTTCTGTTACGGCGTGCAACCCGCTCCTCCAATATATTCATTTTAATAAAGTCTGTCATATATTTATTTCAATCAAGTATATATATAGACTTTTAAATAAGTCTGTTGCGGCGTGCAATCCGATCCCCCAATATT